TTTACTAAACTTTTTATATTTTGTAACCTTTGAATTATATATTAAATACAGGAATCTCTTTAATATTTTTAAAATTATTCATAAGTTCTCGCTTGTAAAGTTTTGTGATTTTCTGATAAAAAGTTTGGCATTCTTCTTGTCATATCCTGCACGAATATTTAAGGCAAAACATTCAAAGTAATCTGATATTGTGACACAAAAGTTGTATAAAGGCATGCCGCAACAATTTGAACAATCATGTGTCCAGGCACGTCATTGAAGTTATTTCCCAATTTTCTGGTTTTCTCCGAATTTAAATGCTTTAAATGCCTTCTACTATTGTGCGTTGATGGACAAGAAGTTTAACCTAGTTGATTGTCAAAGCAATGCTTGTGAGAATCTTGTTTGGTTTATTTTGTGAAAATAATTTAAAACATTTAACAGGCCTTAAACTGATATTCTTGGCTAGTCGATATAGATTATCGTGAACACTAATTATTATTTTCTTATTAGCTTCATATAATGACAATTACCGCAGGAGGACTGTAATTAATTACAAATAGATTATCTGATGTCGCACTTAATAAGAAAAGTTATTTTCAAAATGTAATCAATAATTTTTAATAGGACTTTAATATAAGAGCCTTCTAGAGAAATATAAATCATTTATTATTGCTTCTTTAACATACAGTTTTTTGTACCAAACAAAAACTCATGAAATTTAAAGTTGTAATGGCAGAAAAAACACAACAGTTTCGCTAATTAGACATTTGTCAATGTAAATGAACCGAACAGACAAGCTGGTTTTTGGTCAGTTGAGATAATTGAAATAATAAATAAATTAATTATTTAAATTCCTATTGACCGACGAATAAGTTAAATGAAATTAATGTTTTTTAGATTGAATAATAATTGAAAGTGCACTGTGAGCAAATTTAAATGCGAGACATTTCTTTGAAAGTGCAATCGTTAATGATTAGGATATTCGAAGAGGTGACAATGAACAAATTATAAGAAGGCGTCCAAGCTGAATCAAAGCTGCCTGGCTTGTAAAACTCAAAATGTTTTCTTATCCACTCTTCCAAGGACTTATTGTCCGGTTCCCAAGTCAATGCTAATTAATAAACTTTTTATTACGGACCGAAGCGAGCAGTAGAAACTGTTGAAAAGACGCTGTGGCACTGGTGCGCCTCTGCACGAGTGGCCTCAATTAACGGGTTCTATGCAAATTGGCTTAATTTCAATTGTCCAACTCGATTCCATAACAGTTTCAGCTTAGCTGACGTCAACAACAGCACAAGCAGCCGTCGAGGAAGCGACTCAGAATCTCGGGAGGACTGTTGGCGCTAAATCCCAAACAAATTATCCCAGACACGTTTCAGAATGCGAACAAGATGCCAGGAGACACACACTCACCAGTGGGGCGATTATAGTCTGATTTTGGTTCTGCTAAAGTTCCAAGTAAATCCTGCAGCTCTGAGTGCCGCTTTAAGGACAATTACCCCGGGTGTTCGGCGAGGAGCCCACTGGCAAACGCAAACAAAATATAAACACAGCTAAAAAATAACTTTAAAATCAACTGTAATAAAAACAAAATTTTCAAATCGACTTACAAAATAAAATATCCAATATATATATTTAAAAGTTATAATTGATTAATTTAATACTAATTCTAAGATAAACATATAATTGAGTAAAATAAAAATAGTTCTTAGATTTTTATGCTAAATAAGATATTTAAAAAAAATTATTATATTATATATTAGAAATTTTAAATACTGTTTTAGGAGATGCGGCTATTATACATTTAGAACAAGATTTGTATCTGTTCAATGAAAATTATTAAACAAAATTATATCTGAAGGATGACAGAAGGTTCCATAAGTTTTTGTTTAAGCCATAAGTTTATTTTCGTAAAGAGACATTTGTTTTTTCTGCTACAAACATATTACATTTCTTGCCAAATTGTATTCTCTTTGATATCGAAACTAACATTGCCTCGTGCTGACTTGTACCAGTTCTTAGTAACAAACTCTCGATTTTTCCCCAGTGCAAGCCTCAATGGAAGGGCGACGAATCCACATCTGAGCCGGAGACTGGGACTTGGATGGGTTCATGCCCAACGCTCCATGTCCATGGTCAAGGCTGCACGGTTTATTGTTTTGGCTACTGCAATTGAGCGAAATATTTCGAGTTATTTTTGGCTCTTGACTTGTGGCGCAGCTAATCTTGAGTTGTCTGCTTTCGGGGATTGCGAATGTTGTTTTGTTTGTCTCGGGAAAAAAGGGGGCGAAAGGCGTGGGATGCCCGAGCTTCAAGTACATCGAGTACATCGAGGCCATAAAGCAAACACTTTTAGTTTGTTGAACTGCGACCAGAGGTCGGGGCTTCGAATTTGTTGTCAAAAACTGCCACTGCCAGCTGTTGGCTGCTGCTCGGATTTTAAACTGTCCCCGCTTCTTGGCCACTTGCTATTTTAATTTGCTTCATTGTTCTGCGGCATGTGACAGATGCTGAGAATATTACTACTTGGCTTTATGCAGGCACTCTGCTCATCAAGGATAACCAGAATTCTTGTGGGCTCACGACTGGAATTTAATTAAAATTTCTCCCATGACCCAACATTTAATGTGTAAATCGGTTATGCACCACAACAATCCGACTGAGCTGCAGCACACAGCACACAGCACACAGAACTCAGAGAATAATATTTATTTGTCATCCGCTGAACGAGAGCAAGAGTTGACCCCATGGCAGTGCCAACAAAAGAATCAATTGGGTTCATCGAAACACACATACGGGCTGGATTGTGGGTCTAGGGCGCAATAAATAAACACATAAGTCGGCCATGAAGAGCATCCTTTGGACCGTGTTTACACAACTTTAATTGAAGCCCCCACAAGGATACTCGAGCTGTTTTGTACACTAGTTGTTTAGCCATCCAACCGCATTTTTGTGTAAATTTTGAATTGAACACAACTGAAGCGATTTGCACGTTTCAATTTGTTGGCATATGTAACTTTAGAGCCAGGCGTTTGTAGAAAAGAATTGAAGGCGATTTTTCTGTGAACACTGGCAAAAAAAAAACATTCAAAACTGGAAACAAATTCTTAAATTTTTTGGGAGCTATTTATACTTTCGATAACGACGTACAACGGGTCGAATTAGCAATTTCTGGAAAATGTAACTATAGAAGCAGTAATTTGAACAATAGAATAGAGCAGGATTTTTTTCAGAGAATACTGACAATTGTTACATAAAATCTTTAATTAAATTTATTAAGTTATTAAAGGTAGCTTTTACTTACGAAGACTATGCACAACATGTCGAATACGTGATATTTGAAGCCGTTTAAGTAATGAATGCAATTATCTTTACTCAATATTATGTGTATTAGCTTAAATCTTTTCATATAATTTTTGAACATGTTATGTATTTTTTCTCAGTGATGCTGGGGGTGAACTCGGTGATGGGTTCAAAGCAACTCGGCTTTTGTCCGGCTCTTTGCCGGCTCGTTGGATGCAGACAAGGACCAGCAGAGAATGACCGGCCAGCATGCTTTAAAATCTGGACATGGACATGAATGTGGATATGGATATGGCCACTCAGGGTCCAAGAGACCAAAGTGGTCTTGCCTCCAAAACGACAGAGCACAGAACGGAAAATAAATTCGCCGCTTTGAAAAGTGAAAGTTTGTCGCTCATAAACTGGAAGAGTAATCTAAAATGTCTGTGCGTAATGACCGACACAATATGCGAGCTCCTCCGCCGGACTTATTAAAGCTCGAGTCCGGGAAGGGAAAAAATCCGGAGAACTCTTCATCTTCGTCAGGGAGCTTTGTGCGAGCTGTTTGGCCGTTAAACTGGTTGTCTAGACCGTAAGTAAATTTATGGCTCTGATTAATATCTTTATTGTGTCAGATTATGATTGACTAGGCGGCAGGCCACACGATTTATTGATGGAGGACCTGCCCAGCATCCAGCATTCTGAATCCCCAACTAAGAGCTCCTCACAAAAGAATCTCCGCCGGAGATGATGAACGAGGAGGCGGTCCATAGTGGCCCAAAGGAAAGCCTTTTGTTGCGGTTTCCTGCCAACAGGCGGTATTCAATGAGCGAATATCCATTTCATATATGAGCTGAAAACACATTAAAACTTCAATCCCTCAGCCCAGTGTGGAAGTCAGGTGAAGGGCCGACAATTTGGCTTTGAATTTTTGCAGGACTTGACTCTCCACTTGGCTTCCACTCGAATTTATTTGCCTGCTCTTAAAGAGCCATTAACAATTTCGTTTGGCCACAGTTTTAGAAGAGGCGGCAGCCATAGTTCTTTAATTTTGTCCCACTTTTGAGTTGATTTATTTTGTGAAACTAATCCTCTCTCTCCATTCACGCCACGTGCCAATTCACCGCAGGATAAGCACATTCTTCCACATTTTGCACATTCGTTTCAATACTTACTTCCTTGCCTACAAAGCCCTCTTGACTAATGGACCTTCGACACTCCGTTCAGGTGCAAAGTGAAACGACTTTGTTGTCAGGTGGAAGTGCAGCGGGGATAGTTGATTTACACTCAGGAAAAAATGTGTTTAATCGTATGTTTCAACCTCAACAAAAAAACAACCAACCATTAAGATTTCGATAGTCCTTCATTTTTTAAATATTAAGAACATTTTAAGTCAATTTTACTTCAATCTTAAGGTTTTTGTTTTAAAAAGATTTTTTCTTCTTTCCTCTTATTGTATTTGTACTCCGCTCACTTGATAACGATTGTTTGTTTCAGTGGATAAGCAACTGAATGCCTGCCAATCTGTAGAAAAAATGTCACAAAAAGCACGTACAGAATGCTTAGAAACGCTGCTGCTGGAAAAACTAAGTCTCAACCTGTATTTCCCACTTTCCAACTCGGAATGCAGATAAAGGTGATTCTGCTCCTGACATGCATTATGCTGGAGGAGAACAGAGTTAAAAGAATTTTTCTGTAATGATATCAACATTTTTTTATTTATTCACATTATTTGCTGGCTGTCCGACAGCTTAACACTTAGTTTATGAGTGCAATTCGATGGCCAACGTCAGGATGGGGGCGTGGCACTGCGTCAGGACAGTGTGTTGCCTCATTAGCCTGACTTTATGCCTCACATAAATCGTCTGGACCGTGGCCATTCGTTGTTTTTTTTTTTTTTTGTTATAGACCACCGAAATTTGCATGCAAAGCGTTGGCTTATTTACAGATCGAAAAGTTTATTGCGCTAACTAAACAATGCCTAACTAAGCATAACTCTAGTCATCAGCCAGCTGGAATCACTGGGATTTGGGTGAGCCGTAGGCCAAGCCCTCGCTAGTTGTGGGTGGTTCCTCCGTTTTCTGCCTCCGCTTTCGCCAGGGAAACTTGCGGCAGCCTCGACCCGCGATGGAAGCCGATTGACAGGTGTCCGGATCCGGCAGACTGTGGCTTCCGCAAAAGGGCGGTGTGGTGCTGCTGGTCACCTCATCCCTGCGACTTATCACCCTGGTCAACTTGAGCCTGGTAGCCGGCTGGCCGAGTTCCGATGGCTCGACATTTTGCGGCGGTGTCACCAGCAGGGCACCACTCTTGGTGGCCAGCAGTGCCCTCTTGGCCCTGCCCGTGGAGTAGTGTCTGTCCACCACTTCCGCCTCCAGCAGCGAATTGGCATCGCCCAGCGATGAAAGCTGGGACACCTGCGCCTGCAGCATTCGATGGGGCACCGCGGTGCCCGGAACGGGGCCATAGAACTCCTGCTTCCGAAGACGCCGCCCAACGCCACCGCCACCGCCACCGCCAATCCCATTTCCATTTCCGGCTCCCATGCCGCTGCTATTAATCGTGGTGGTCGTGGTGGTGGTGCGAATGCTGTCCTGCAGCGACAACTGATGGCTGGCATCGCGGCAGCGGAACTGCACCACTCGGTAGGATCCATAGGGCTCCAAAGCGTTGTTGTTCACACTGCAACTGGCCGGCTGCAGACGCATCGATCCATTCTGCCGTAGCAGCGCACTGTAGTTGTGCTGGTGGTGCTGGCTCTGCTGGTGGTGGTGGTTCCTGGCCAAACCAAACTGCCTTGTTAGGGTTATCTATACAATAAACAAATTTAAACAATTTTATTACAAATTTTAGCACAAATAAATTGTAATTTGTTTGTAATGGGTTGTAAAATGGGTATTAATTGAGCGAAAATAAAAAGTTACATAAAAAAACAAATGTAAATTACTTTGCTTTTATATTTTATTCACCCAAACAACGGCTTAGCAAAATTAAACAAGAAAATGTTTGTACGTGACATTTTTTTTTAGATATAAACTAAATTTATAGAAACTCAAAACATGGAAATGAAATTGTTATTTAATTAATTGGTAGTAATTGGGAATTGTAGATTTTAATTATTTATATTTTAAATCCAAATTTTTTCACTCTTAAAAGCAAAACACCCCTCGGAACTAAATCCGTTCCGAAAATGTTTAATTTAAAGTGGAGAAATTTGTCATGTTTTTTCGCTGGGTGTATACCTCTAATTCCTTAAGTATTTAATAAGTTTTTAAAATGTTTTAAATAGAATATTCCAAAAGAATATACATTTTGTTACATAAATGTAGTCTGAGTAAGTTAAGCTAAAATACACTTAAATTTTGGCAAAAACCAACTTTGAAAGTTTTTAGGGAAATAAACCCTCTTTATTTATGTATTCACGTTCCAAAAAAGGGTTCAGCTGTAATAGATGGCTTATCCTGGGCTTACCTTGAAGGCCTCGCGGAACTTGTGACTCATGATGTTGTACAGCAGCGGATTGATGCAGGTGGAGAGGAAGTAGAGCACCCCGGATGTGTAATCAAGTATCCGGAAGTAATCGTTGAAGGCGTCCCGACTGATGCCTATATTAATCAGGTTGAGGCCGTAAACGGCCATCAGACGCTGGGCGTGGAAAGGAGCCCAGCAGAGGAAGAAGGCGACGGCTACAGCTACTGCAAATACGGGCAAGGATAAAGAACGTATTAAATACTCTGAAAAAGTTGGTCACGCTACAAATGGTCTTTATCTTTTATATCCCCTGTAATCAAATAGTTTTGGCAATCATTTTGTAAGTGCTCGTTGGTTGGAAAGAGAAAAATATGGGAAATACCTGTTGCTTAATACTAAATTATCTTTTAATATAACTGAATTACTACCGAGAATGCTGCCCCTTGTGCCTTTTTCCCATTCCGTAAGCAAAGTTAATTTAAAATTAAGACTCTTGGCTTTATCTGCCCCTTTTGCCCATTAATTTAAATTTAGTAAACCAATGGCTGCGGTAAACTACTGAATCAATGGGCTGTGGATTTCCAGTTAAAAGCCACATCAAATTGAGGGTCGTTTTCTGGCCTGTAATGGAAAATTGTTCTTTAAATTCCTAAACCCTCGTTGTAATACACTAAAAACAACAAAGCTATTTTATCTTAAATTAATGGATTTATATCGTTAAAAAAAACAACTCGCAATATCAAAACAAACTTTAAACGCAGATTTTTAGAGGCTTAAGCCACAAGACTATAAAGATATACCGCCTGTAAATCAGATGTCGGAATGAAAAGTTATGGAATTAGAGGTGCAGGGTTTTGGTCATTTTTCTGCAAACACGATTTTTCTGGAAATTTAGAAAGGGGTACCATCATAAAAATTGCAAAAAATTGACCAGAAATTACAAACCAAGTTTTAAACGCAGTTTTTTAGAGCACTAAGCCTCGAGACATTTAAGTTATACCACTTCGAAATCGGATGCTTAAAAGAAAAGTTGTAGAATTAAAACTGCAGGTTTTTTGTCACTTTTCTGCAAAGCAATTTTATCGGAAATTAATGGATATATATCGTTAAAAAAAACAACTCGCAATATGCAAATAAACTTTAAACGCAGATTTTTAGAGGCTTAAGCCACAAGACTTTAAAGATACACCGCTTGAAAATCGGATGCCGGAATGAAAAGTTATGGAATTAGAGGTGCAGGGTTTTGGTCATTTTTCTGCAAACACGATCATAAAAATTGCAAAAAATTGACCAGAAATTACAAACCAAGTTTTAAACGCAGTTTTTTAGAGCACTAAGTCTCGAGACATTTAAGTTATACCACTTCGAAATCGGATGCTTAAAAGAAAAGTTATAGAATTAAAACTGCAGGTTTTTTGTCACTTTTCTACAAAGCTATTTTATCGGAAATTAATGGATTTATTTAATATACAATTTATTATTTATTTATATATAAATAGGTAAAAAGAAAACGGTCCAGTCTTAAATGCGAAAATATGGTATGACAAATTTTGTATGCTAAAGGAAAAAGTATAATTTAATATATGTTTTTTTCTGTTTTCAGTGAAAGTGGCTCTATTCCTTTTAAGGTGTCACCTGGTTTCACCTTTGCCGTGCTTTAGAACTTTTCACAAACAGCGATGCTCTCAAAAAATTAACGACACCGCAGATGAGAAAAAAAAAAATAAAACAGAAGCACATTCAACTCACATGACGCAAGTGCAAATAAAAGGTGGCGAAAAATCAAATGGGCGGGGCAATGACGAATCTCCTGTTTGATGTCGCCAACGCAAACATGCTGACAGTAATTTTCAATTTAAGACTTTCGGCGAAAAAGTTTTGACAGCCTGCTGTTGGCGGTGGAAGGGGGCGCTTTGCTGTCTTTAATCAATCAAGCCGCCAACTCAACTCACCTACCCAACATTCTGATGACTCGTCCCTGGGCATTGAGGCCCCGATTGGCATCGTAGGTCCTCCGCGGCAGCGATTGCAGCAGGCGACTCCGCTTCAGCTTCACACCGATCAGCACGTAGAGCACACAAATCGCCGTCATGGGTCCGCAGAAGAAAATAAATCCCGAAACGGCGAACACATGGGCATAGAAGTCGTTCTCCATCTGGGTGATAAAATAGATGCGTCAGTTGGTTTATCGCCATTTGGCCCATTTCGGCCATTTCGGCCATTTCGGCCATTTGGCCATTGGTTCCACCCACCGTGCAGGAGTACCCGTCGTTCTGGTAGACCACCGAAAATTGCATGGCCTGGGGGAGGGCCAGCAAGAAGGCCGCCAGCCAAATGGCAAATATAAATTTAATGGCGCGCGACAATTTTGACATGGTGTGCTGCCTACAAATGACGGAAAGATTAGGCTAAATTATATGTTAAGTATGAAGAGGAAGTTGATGGAAATTTGTACGTTAAACGTGGGCAGATATGAGATGGATAAAATAAAGGCAGTAAAGTTCAAACTCTGACCATCTACGTTTCAAAGGTTCTTTGGCGCCTTAAATATTAAATTCAAAATAAATATTTACTCTAATGTGGGTGTAAACAGGAAAGAACACGAACACAAACACTTCCAATGAAAAATAGTAGCTATGAAATCTGAAACATTATTAAAGAGTAATAGATAGACTGAAGGGCAGGATATCAATGTTTATTAAACTTGTGTATAAGAAAGTTTCATAACATTTTTATTTAAAAAAAAAATTGACAACAGTTGACAACAGATTATATTCGCTTAAGATACCTAACTTATGCTGAAAAGCTGAAGATTTTGTCTTCCTCACAGCAATTTGTAGCCTGGAAACCTCTTATTTATTTATATTTAAGTCCAACTTCATGGAAAGACCTTTTTTTCTCAACTTTATAATCAGGTTTAGTCAGCCCACCCCTTTATGTCTGGTTATTCCACAGGACATTCTGAAAGTGATTGTATTAATTTATTTCACAAAGTTGTGGAAAATGTGTAAAGTTGGAGACACAAATTGTGTTTACCAGTAGAACGAATTTTTCATTCGAATTATTTGCTGTTTTTCAAGAGAGTCAGTAGCAAAGGAAACTTAATATGGGGTTCGCTGGAAGCCATTAACCGAAAATCAAGAACGGAATTCAAACCTTTTCGCTTAAGGAAGCATTTGTATTTTTAACAACCAAAGGACCCAACGAAACTTTGTAATTTGACGATTTTCCAGAAAAGTTCACTATTCGAAAATGGAATTTTCTTCAATGAAATTATTTTACAACATTCCAAGTTAATTGCACAGTTTATTATGAACTTGGAACATTTGCAGTGCTGACTATTAATTAGTGTCAGCATATAATAAATAATTGGTTTGCCGGGTTATCTAAAATTGATGCGATTTTTGTTGTGAAGCCTGACATGTTTTATCATTCCCCAACCTGTTTAGTTATGAATAATTATTACGCCAATAATTTATGGTATGTCTGTGGGATATCGTTTCATTATGTTTGTGAGTGAGGCATATCAGTTTCATTCTTTTATTTATCGTCTGTCCATTTATGGACACTTTGTTAATGAATGCGAACGTAAAAACACTGAAAGAATTAAATAATGTTCTGTAGTGCCAAAGCAAACTGTTATTAATTACAAAAAAAAATTGAATAAATTCCAATTTAAATTTAATTTAATTTAAAGTGCATATGGTTTTAAAAGTAAACTCACCGAAAGGGATGACAGATGGCAATATACCGCTCTACAGTAAAGGCTGTAATTGTAAGGACTGTTGCATTGGCGGCCATTTCCGAGAGCACACTGCCCATGATGCACATGGCGTCCGTGAAGGGGTACATATCCGGATACCAGAGGTTATACAGCTCCTGGGGAATGCCTGCAGGATATATGTCACATTACGCATACGCCGCGTTGACCCCGCCAATGTTCCTGCTCACCTGAGACCAACAGTATCAGATCGGAGACCGCCAGGTTGAACAAATAGAAATTGGTGGCCGTGTGCATAAAGTTATTACGGGATATCACAATGCAGGTGATAAGATTACCCAGCACGCCGGCCACAAAAATGAGGGCATAGCAGACGGTGAAGGCGGTCCGCAGGGTGAGGGACTCCTCGTCGACCGACGAGTCCGCTGTCATTGTGCTCGCATTGGTGCCGTTCGTGGTGCCCAGGAGGCTTGAGAGATTCTCGGTCGTTATGTTCAGCAGATGGGCGACATGTGTTAGGAATTTGTCATTCCGCAGCAGCAACAGCTCGGGGCTCTCGCTGGGATTGGGCATGGCGGAGGTGGCCGGACTCTGATTGGGACTGGGCGACACATGAGCCATGAATGATTGATTGAGGCCATCATCGTTGCTGTCGTTGGCATTGGCGATGGCGATGGCGATGGCGACGTCGACGCCTTGCAACATGCTAGCTGTCGTCGATTAATTGAGGACTCGATGCAAAGCCCCAGCCCAAGCCGAAACCGACTTCCCAATCCAAAGAGGAGAAAAAAACAAACCCGTTTCGACCGCCCACTCCTATCAATGCCAATGCGTTATTAATACTGTCTGGCGTATCCTTTGCGGCTGCGGTGCCACATGGCCGATAAGCAGTCGACAACAGGCCCAAAAATTGCGCACTCGCCTGTGAAGCAAACAACATTAAAAGTCATTAGACTCAAGGATGAATTTAAATTGAATCCCCAGCCAGGCAAACATGGCATTCCGAGACACGAGCCGGTGTCAGGTGGCCAAAAAACTCGATAAGGAAACTGCGTATCAGTCCCGAAATAAAGCACTTGACTGCTGCCATTTCTCAATGGCCATATAACACTTGCTTTGTTAAAAAAAAAAAAACACCGTATTTTTCCTTTTTCTTTATAGAAATACTAAATGAGTTACAAAAAAAAATTAATTTATTAATATCCAATGTGATTCCTTAACGTTTATGGAAAACATTCAACAAAGCCATAGAAAACACATGATTGTACATATGCATTAGCGATCACGTGTTACTAAATTAAAACTAAATTAATATTAATATGGATTTCATGATGATATATTATTTCTCTGTATGCCACATGTCACTTGCTACTTGCCACTTGGCTCTATTAATAGTAAACATCTTAAGCATGTAGCAAACAGATTGCTGGCAATCAATACAAATATACTTGTGGATGAGTAAGTTTTTCTATTTGCTCGTTCCAAGTCGTGACGAGTGAAACGAAACCTAATTGCATGTATGGAAAAGTTTTTGGGGCTGGACGGAAGGGAAACTTTACTGCCACCGACTGTCATTTAGGTGCCATTAGGGATCCCAGCACATGCGATGCATTAGAGATTCCTTTAAAAATAACATGAGGCGTAATATTTCACTCGTTATGTCGCCAACACGTTCTGAATGGATTCGGATTCACCATGCTGCCAAGCATCAACTTCTGGGGTTGGAAGTCATAGACCAGGCAGGGGAACACCTAGTCAGTGTTAATGCCAAGTGGGATTATGGGCTTACTGCCAGGTTTTTAGTTGATACGTCTAATTAATTATGTTTCCAGTTCGTTAAGCGTTATTTCTGCCCGAAAAACCTGCGAATTGGCGTTTAAGAAGCCCCGGAAAGTATGCTACGCACACATAAAGCCCGCAAATCTTGAGGGGTCAGCCGCACGGTGACTTCTTATTGACGAAAACTAATTGGAAAAATAATTGAATTGCCAGCTCAGGTGTGAAAGTTGATTTAGATATGATTGGGCACAAACCAAGAGCTGGGATTAAGAGACTGAGTCTGTGTACAAATGTGCGACTTCCATCGCAATTAAACAATCCAATCAGCCAACGCAATGCCACGCGTCCCGTATTAGGGTTTCGAATTCAATTTCAGTTTGCTGAACAAGTTTAACCGCAGTCTAGTTGCATTGCCCAGGTGCCCAGACGAAAACGGAGAGCCTCAACATTTTTTAATTAAACTTTGCGTTGGCAAAGGCTAAGCAATTTAGATGAGCTGAGTTTTTTAAACTCTGAGCACCGAAAAGAGTCCTGAGTAAACTGCTATTGACATGTTGATTCTTACAAGGGCTAAATTAAATAACAAAAAGTTTTTACTTCTGCCTCGCGTATTGTGTCCTTTTTTTGAGTTGTATCCTTGTTCGTGGCTGTGTGACAAAAGGTAGGTTCGGTTTTTTTTTATTTTTTTTGCTATGAGCACTTCTGCGTGGGGTTTTTAAACCTTTTGGTTACTTTTTTTTTTAACCAGAATCACTGAACGGAAAATTAGTTTTGCACTTAGTTAAGCAATCAGTTACAAGTCGCTTGGGATCGCTTTGATTTCTCTTAATTAGGAATTGGTATAACAACACTTTATATATTTTTAAAATATTTATCAATTATTTTTCCATTTAAAAATTATTTAATTAATTTAATTTCATTATTTAAATTATTTATTTAACCAACACTTTAACGGACTTTTGGTTGAAATATCTTTTGGCCACGGTTTTCTTTCGAGCTCGCACACGTCCGAAGTGGAGCAAAGTCGGTGACAGACTGAGTTGCCTGGCGGCAATCGAGACAGTCGTCGACGGCTTCTGTTGGCCCAATGTTAGCTAACAGCAGATCTTGGCCTTTTGAGGCTCTCCGCTCGCGTCTGTACGCACACATTTGCTCCTAATTTCATTCATAAATTCATGCACTTCACCTTGACTGTGCCACCGTGGCGTCTCCGTAAGTTATGTCTTACTTGTCGGATGAGTAATGTCGCAGGCAGCTGGTTATAGAGCATGGCCATAAGCGGCAGTCAATCCGTTTGAATGCCGAGTTGCGCGGGGCTAATTGAAATTGCAAATGGCCTAAAAGCACCAGCACTTACTTTAAATATTTATTGCTGAAAGCGCCCGCCTCAATTGTTTTCGCTGACCTCAGAACGAGCGAGGAAAACGAGAAATCAAAGTCGTTTTTGACATCGTAAAGTGCGGGAATAAATGTGTTTGTTTTGCAGGACATGAGGCCTGATTTGACCCCTTCCTCACAAGGAGGCAAAACCGCATATTAATGCCGGCCCTTGTCCGCAGACTTGTGGATTTGTTTTCATTATCCTCCGTTCTGGTTTGCCTTCTGCCCGCCTCGGGCCACGCGTTCAACTGGAGCGGATTGTTGTGCTCGACTTCAAGAAATTCAGTTGGTGGGAGGCGAAGACGACCGCTAAAGACTTTTCAGTCCAATTTGGCATGGCTGTCTGGTCGCGGAAAATATGCACAGTTGCTGGAGCGTAACCACAATCTGGGATTCGGCGCTTAAGAGCCTTTAGACATTAAGGAAATGCCTTTTGGGCGGGATAATAGAAATTATGAAGTTATTCTTTTTACACGACTAGCCACAGTGTAAATTAAGCCGCACGAGTTGTGTTGCTTTGGAAATTTAACTTGGTCGTTACTATGTTGTGTAGAAATATTATTTCTTACTCTACATAGAGGAATAATTTAAATTATTAATTAATATATTTTTGTTGAATTGTAAATTGGTAAAGTAAATTTAGTTGTAAGCCATATTTATGTATTTAAGCTGTTGTGCATATATATTTGCCGATAATTTAAAATTCAAACATTTTTTACCACATTTATCATAAATTTTGCTGTGTTTTTTTCTGTGTATCAATCACATTCCGAACAGACTTACACCTTGATCCGATGTAAATGCGATTAAACAAGCGTTAAATTAATGTTGTTTCGAATAATCACTGTCCACAACCTGTAAGTCAATTATTCATGAGGTCTTTCCTTTCCTCGAAGTAAGTAATGAAAGCGTCAGGTCAATCAATAGCAGTGTTTCACCTACTGACCTGCACATGTTGCGTATACGCCACGTTGCCACAGCGTCAAGCGTGTGTCTGTGATACCAAATGATTCAATTGGCCGGTGGTTGATGCTGATTAGCATAATGCCTTCTGACACACATGTGGACCACCCGTCGAGAGACAAAAGTTGCCCAGATCCTAATCGAAAAGGGTCGACCGCAGCTCTGAGGACCCAGCAGTTGGTCCAAGTTCTCTGAGTCTGCGTTTGAGTCTGAGTGTGGCCTTGATTAACGACTGCAATGGGTGAAACGACAATGATAATGTTCTGGCCGCAACCAGAGCCACTGTGATTATCTCGTCGACCTGATGAACGATGCCGAAATGGGTGCACTGCAATTTCGGCTTAAACCACATTTAAATGCGGCATGCTATTTTAGATGTGGCTAATTAAGTGCAATTAAACTAAACGCGAGAGTCCTTGGCCTTTTGCTTTCCCAAGAATCCCGCACATTGAACTGTCGCCTGGGACGAATATATCGCTTTACATACTATACACGAGTACTTTAGACGCTGAAGCCCTCGCTCTCAGTTCAACTCGCATTACTCATACAACCCGTTGGCCAAAGTTTATGGGAAGTGCTCTACTTTTATGTTGGAAATTGGGCATCTTGACTAGCAATGGCATGTCGAAGAGGGTAATTGCCGGGCTTTTAACCAAATGAACCCCAGCCAACACGCACACCTCTTTATTTATTTTTTTATTTTGGTGGGGAATTCAATTATTTGAAAGGCTTTGCAGTGCAAGTGGAAGTTTGGCTTCATTTGCCCAATCGAAGGTCACAATTAGCCACGAGCTCGGAAATTTTGTCAACGACTTGTTGAGCGCGTGCAAGAGTTCAATAAATCGACGTCGACAAATAAAGACGACTTAAGGTTAGCAGCGAAATATCAATACTCTAACTAGGGCCCACAGCACTGAGATTTAAATATAGAACTTGTATTCTGAGAAAGTAAATGCCTCTGGAAATGTTGCTTTTATATTGAGAAAGGATTTTTTGACATATCATAATCAAAACGAGTGAGTACTTATATATTTTGAAAGGATTTTTTGACATATCATAACCAAAATGAGTGAATATACCATTTATGACCCAAAACCCTAACATCGTACAATAACAGTATAAAAAACATAAATTTTCCGATCATTCATTTAGAATAAAAACAATCAGAAAAATATGTTGATATGATGACTTCGTAGTTCGTATTCTATACCATTGCAATTTATTATTTCTCAACGACAAACATACGTATTCGTGGCAATAACTTTAAATGGAAAGATAATTACTAAAGGTCCAAGTTGGAAATAAAAATGAGTTATTTTCATAAACAAAAAAAATTTATTTTATGTTTGTGTATATTTTTTAAAAGAGCAAACGAAGAGGCTCAAAAACATTACAAGCATTTATTAAAATGCCACTATCTTGTCCTGCCAGACAACTTTCATATTTTATTTCTATAAGCCCCAACTCCACTATAATATTGACATTACTGAGGTGGAAGTTAGGGGAAGCAGTGGGCGAAAACGGGTTGGTCGAACTGCAAATGACTTTCGGCATGCCCTCCCTGCGTGCAATAAAACTAAATGAATTGGAAACTTGCACAAAAATTCAACTAAACTGCTGACGAGGATGCCGCCGTCGCCTGATGACAGAGTCCTGGGCAAAAGGCAAAACTTCAAAATGCCAAACAAGAGCTCGACTCAAAGGACGTCCCGAATCTGATGTCATGCCCAGTGTTCATAAAGAGTAAAGCAAACCAAATCGTCCCCATTTTCCATTTCCCTTGCCCTTGCCCTTGCTCTTGCCCTTTTTTTTCCCTGCTTTCGTCAACAATTGGCAGCCAAAGTTTTGACTGGGAATGTCTTTGCAGCACGTGCTGCGTGTATTTGCACTGCTTTTGAATTCATGGGGCTCTCGTTCAAGAGATTAAGAGGGAAATGGAGAAGGGCCCCTAACAAAGACCCCAGATTCTCGTCCTCACGCTCCTTTTCACTGTTTACTTAGGACTTTGTTTTGATTAAGTGCCAAAAAATTGTTTCGTATTATTTGCATAAAAATTGAGAAATTGAATGCATGCAATGGATTTGATTGGTTGGCCACGCAATTCGATTTTCTATGCGCCTCGTACACATCGCGTTCAAATAGATACGCTACATTTGTTTGCTCTTCATATCGCACTAGCCGATGGGGGAAAAAACACACCATTTTATGACCCGCAAAGCTCTGATAGATTTGCCCGCACATGGTCATAAAAGTAAGGCCCCGGGTGCCTAATAAAATCTCCCTTTGACTGATCATAAAACACGGCATCATGTCCAATTTCGTGGGTTGATGACTGGGGCTCAACGGCGTACAAAGTGGTTGCACAAATTAATTTTAAGCAATTTAGTTGTCTTCGGCACTGGGTTACTGGAAAGGAAATTTACTATACAGAAAATGGAGTAATTTGTTTTTATTTTGTTTTTACTGTTAACGATGTAAATAACAATAAAATCCCTAGTGGAAAAATGATTGTGATTTTTAATAAATGTCCTTAAGGTTTTGAGAAGTATTTAAAACCGACTTTTTAAACAAGCATAACTGCATACCTACTTCTAACACTGCTTTATACTATTGTTATTAAGCAATTGCTTATTGGTATTGTTTATTTTTAAGGCTATAAATTAAAAAACATTGTCTCTATTTATCATGGGAAATTAAAGTAATTATTTTAATTTTTCTTGGCGTAGTTCTTTGAGTTACCACATCACCTTTCACGAGCGGCCTTGACTTCAATTAGTTTTTAGTGGGCGACAAGGTCGGCATTTGCATTTTCCTTTGGCTCTGTTAACATAATAATCAAACAATTTGCCGCCTCGGCCAAATTAATACGCCACTAAATAAGATAAACTGCATGGTACTCTGGTATTATTTGCATTTTTATTACCCTTTAGCCGGGGGACGGGACCCTCTCTATAAGGCCGAAAAGCCAAAGCGCGCCGTCGCAGAGAGCCGAAAAGCATCGAAAAGCATCGAAAAGCAGCGACAAGCGGCGAAAAGCAACCGGTAGTTGTCCTCTGCCGGCGTCGGCAGCGGCGCCGGCGTCACTGTTGCGTCGCTGTTAAGGCCATGGCCCGAACGGGCTGTGCTGCCAAGATTTTTGGCCAAAAACCCAGTAGTCAGTCGGATGCTGCGGCCCGTTGCTGTAGCCGCCGCCGTCGCTCTTCGATTTTCGATTTTCGGAGACGAACAAAACGAGAAATCGGGAAAAACATCAATTTACGAGTGCCCCTCAGTCATAATTTTGGGTTCCGAGAATCATTCTGCGTACCAGAATTAATCAGTGCCATACGCAAGTAGTTATCGCCATTAATTGTGTTAGTGTTTGTGTTTAATTACCCCCAAAGTCTCGCGGTCATTAATCAACATTTAGCACATGGTAAAAACTGATTAGCTGTAGTGCAATAAACACACACACACACACACCCAAAGGTGAGGGGAGAAAGTGAGTGAAAGAAGAAAGGGGGGACGCAGAGTGCAATGCTCGCAATTGCGAATGTGAAGTGACAAAATCAAAACAGTTCAAAGTCATAAAAAATAAATGCATTCCAAAAAATGTGGCAGGCATCGTTTGATAAATTTAAATTAAACGTGTTTTAAATGCACAAGCGATAGCCAGCCGAAAGCGAAAAATATAATGAATTGTCATTAGGCGGAATGGAACGCCCCGAACAGGAGCGCCGAGACAGTTGTTAACAAGTTGAAAATAAATACGGCAAGATCTCAAGATTGCCAGTGAAATCCATTGACCCGAAACAGGTGCAGCATCGAATCTATAATATCAAACATGCCTTATGCAAAACAACTTCACAACAAATTCAAACACAATAATAGCAAAATTCGAAACTCACACTTTATGGACATGGGCGGTGCATAATTTTCGGTGGGATTGATACACGGTCCATCATGGGACATCAGACATTGGAAACCAAAACGAAAACAGAAAAATGAAAAAATGAAAACCAGTTTGATTGAATATACATACAATATAATAAAACCAAATTCGACAACATTCTTTGGCCGTGCATATATTGTAGAAACTTTTTTATGATAATGATAATGAAAACGACCAGAAACGGTCAGCAGCAGCAACAACAACAAAATAACAGCAGCCGAAAACACTCATCATCAATGGAATAAAACTATGTTAATGTTATTAAGTCACCCGATGTCCACTGGGGCCTCACCAGCTGACCTTGAGTGTCGGGCGCGTTTAATTTGTTTGTCCCCAGGTGCTGGGAGGAGATCCCTGAGTCTTGTAGCAACATCCTTAAATTCATCCAGTGTACACAAATATTTTGTCTAAATGCCACTTAGCAATTCAAATTAATTTTCAGCTTCCCTTTGCCTTGAGTCTGGTCTTACGAATAGGATACGCCTGACTGCCGCCTGCCAGTTTCTCAGGATGCCAGGTAAACAGGACACAAACACACAAAAAGACACGTATTCTGGGGTGGACCTTAACAAGCTAAAAGGCTAACAAACTCTTCTTTTTCAAAATTTATGGCGAAGTGCTACATATAATTTGTTTACATTTATTTAGCATAAAACTAGTTTAAACTCTAAGCAAATTGGCCGCAAAAATTGGATTACACGCATCTGAAAATTAATTAGCGCTATATTCAGAGCTGTAACTTAAGATTGAGATTAATTAAGAATGAATTTATTTAAAATGTTTTCTATGACACTTTTGTTATATGAGCATTTAAAACTTGATTGAACTGCATTTAATGTACATAAAAAAGCAAGTTGGGATTTAATGAACAAGTCTTATATATTTTATACCTACAACTTTGAAAAAGAACTTGAATACTACGATTCAAAGGCAACTTAATTAAACCAATTTTTTTCAAAAATGGACTCTTAAATAACCATAAAAAAGTATATTTTAAGCGGACTTTTTTATCGTTAGGAAGAATATACTTTTACATATAAATAAAACAAATCTTTTTTTGAAAATGTAATCATATATATTTTGTGTAAATTTGTTTAGAAGATTTTAAATTAATTTTTTATTTCGAAAAGTTTAAAATATCGTTGTTAAGGGTTTTGTACAGTTACTAGCTTTTATTATTATTATTTAATTATTATATATTATTGTTATAAAGATTTCATCCTAACGCTACAAGTTTTACACTTATATATTAGTGCGCTAGTTGCAAACATTTAATACACAATTTTTAAAGAAAGCAAAGCGGTCAATTGTTGTTTTTGAGTACAATGTTTTTATTACCAATATTTGTACTATAAACTACGCGACGCCCTTGTTAATACTTGTTTATAAAAATGTATGTTTTTTTTGTTTTAACACTTAAGAGCACCAGAAAGTTTTTCTTTTAAATCTTTTACCCAAACTCAAATGAGACTTATTTGTAATAAATCCGATAAGGAACAATATGTTAACCACTGGTCCACCCCATTGCATACATATGTACACATTATTTAATCCCAAACTCATGACGACAGGTTGTGAGTGGAGTGGCACTGGCCTAAGTCGAAATTGATGAGCCCCGGTAAGGGGCATTATGAAAACATTACTCGATTGAAAATACATAAGTAGGATTGGATAAATCCTGGAATAATTCGAAAACAATAGTGCACGCACACACTTGAGAACAAAAAGGTACACAACACACAACAGCCGACACTGACACACCCATGGCAGTCAAAATGCTGCCCAGTAACAGCTCCGGTCTCCTGGCAACCGATCTGCAACTGTTTCACAATGAGAAATTCCTTTTGAATCTGACCCAAGTGCTGAACATCTCGGCGGACAACCTGACCAGCCTGCTGCAGGGTCTGGAGCCGGAGGAGCTGCTGCCCACGGCGACCCCGATGACCCCACTCTCCCTGCTGGCCACCCTCAGCGTGGGCTACGCCCTCATCTTTGTCGCCGGAGTGCTGGGCAACCTAATCACCTGCATCGTGATTTCCCGGAACAACTTCATGCACACGGCCACCAACTTCTACCTGTTCAATCTGGCTATATCCGACATGATCTTGCTATGCTCGGGTGAGTACGAAATGTTTTGTAAAACAAGTATGTTCAGTTGAAATGCGCAAAAAGAGCTAAGGTATTGGAAGTATAATTGTTTAATTATGTTGATGTTTTCAATATAAACAAGAAAATCGAGATCCTCTACTGTGAAAAACAGAGCAGATGGTCATAGCTAATCTACTCACATCTTAATGCGTATTAGACTTTCTTATCTGATTTAGATCTATTTTAAATGAATTAAGGTCTTTGCATATTCAGGCCACTTATGTATGCGTTATGTGGATATATCGGTGTCTATTTAAAATTCTTTTTCTAAATTAATTTATTTCTGTATTCCATGAAAATATAAAATTGAATCAAAATTTTGATTAGGTCTATACTTTTTAGCTTTTAAAATGCAACCACTTTTGTTTTCTGTTTATTTAATTTATTTATGTATTGAACTGTAAAATTCTAGGCCAAACAAACAAGCTTTCTATTTATTTGTCTGCACATTTTTGTTGAATTGTTTATACATTCTTGTATATATTTGGTATTTGCTTCCATTAGGAATGCCACAGGACCTGTACAACCTCTGGCACCCGGACAATTATCCCTTCAGCGATAGCATCTGTGTCCTGGAGAGTGTTCTCTCGGAAACGGCGGCCAATGCAACTGTTCTGACAATTACCGCTTTCACTGTTGAGCGATATATTGCCATTTGCCATCCGTTTAGGTGAGGCAATATACCACCTAGCCTTGGCCCATTTCAATTCATTTCCCATCTTTTCTAACTTGTTCTGCTTTTGAAACAGGCAGCACACGATGTCCAAGTTGTCACGGGCCATAAAGTTCATATTCGCCATCTGGATTGCCGCCCTTTTGCTGGCCCTGCCGCAGGCCATTCAGTTTTCAGTGGTGATGCAAGGCATGGGAACATCGTGCACGGTGCGTATGATTGATGTAAGGTTAATTGAGTTAACGAAATGATGACAAAATGTTTGACTCTTTTAAGTTCTTTAAACGTTTTTCATTAGCCAACAAATATTTTAAAATATAAAACTAAAATTATATAATAATTACATATATCCGACAATTTTACAATGCAAAACATTTTGAAATGAGCTTTAACGCTAATCGAATTAATTAAATGAAATTACTTAAAAGTTAACTATCGTACATAACGAAGTTCGTCACACGTTTAACTTCAATAAATTAATCCAATATTGGTTAGTTTAGTTGAAGGCTTCTTTTCACTATTTAAGTTACTAAATATTATTTTATTTTTATAAAGCCTCATGGGCTAGGTAACTTAAACGATACATGGTGAACTGAACATAAAACAATAGGGCTTTTTAAATTCCAACGTGTTTTTCCTAGACTTTTCAAAGCCTACCACCGACTTTTGATCAAACAGAGGCCAGCGTTTGACTCAATTTAGAGTTATCAAATTTGCGGCCTTGGCCTTCCGGCTTTGGCTGTGAGCCATAACCATATCGTTTCGCCCTGTTATATATTTTTTTGTAAAATGTCTGCTGCAGATGAAAAACGATTTCTTTGCCCATGTGTTTGCTGTATCGGGCTTCCTCTTCTTTGGCGGACCCATGACCGCCATCTGCGTGCTGTACGTCCTCATCGGGGTGAAGTTGAAGAGGAGCAGGTTGCTCCAGGCGCTGCCCAGGCGGTGTTACGACGTGAACCGCGGCATCAGTGCCCAGACCCGAGTCATCCGGATGCTGGGTAAGCTAGAGATTGCATCTCCGGGTCAACTCATGGCTACATCCGCCTCCACACTTCCACTTCTCCATCGCAGTGGCCGTGGCGGTGGCATTCTTCATCTGCTGGGCTCCGTTCCACGCCCAGCGACTGATGGCGGTCTACGGCTCCTCCTCGGGCATCGAGTCTCAGTGGTTCAACGACGTGTTCAGCATCCTCGACTACACGTCCGGAGTGCTATACTTTCTCTCCACTTGCATCAACCCGCTGCTCTACAACATCATGAGTCACAAGTTCCGAGAAGCATTTAAGGTGAGTTTCAACAATGAAATTAATTTCTTTGGGCTCAATTATAAGCCAGAGGTATTTATTTTATTTATGAGCTCTAGGTATTTACTTTGGGAGAACAATTTATTATACTCAAAACAAAAGCTTGATTTGATAATTGATTAAAACACTCTAAGTTATGATAGATAGAAACGTTTTCAATAAATTTCCTTTATTTTGGTTGTTTAAATTTGTAAATGTTATTTAAAATTAATCGATAAGTTTTACTACCTTTCTTAAGCAATTTCCTAATTCCTTTAAAATTAATTAAGGTCACCTTGGCTAGGCACTTTGGATTGGGAGGCAAAAATCCAGGAAGGGGACTGCCCCATACTTACAGCGCTCTACGACGCAATCAGACGGGTTCCTTGAGACTACACACAACGGTAAGAACACTGAGAAAAATAATATATCATTTTGAATTTTCATATTTAAATTGTAATTTAGCCCAAAATAAATCTTTGTAGGACATCAAATTATTTTGCACAATATTAATCACGATTCATTTTTGTTTTTCTTTTTACAAAAATTTTATACAATTTTTTAAAATAAAACGCATACACCAAAAAAAAAAATGTGTCATAGAAACGAAACTTTTGTTACATGAAGCTAAATTTATCAATAAGATGAGGATTTAAATTAAAATGTAATTTATCTGGCTTAAAAAGAATGCCTTAGACTATAACTTTAGACTCTTCGGTACAGAAATTAAACTTAAAGGCATAGTGCTTATTTTTTTAGAATTGAATTAATACTTTACCTGAATACTGTCTCAATTTTATTTTAAACTATTAAAACTAGGAATTTCTGAAAATATTTCTAATTATTAATGCCAAATAACAAATAGCACATGTCTCACAAAACAAAGACGAGACACAAGTCTTTCGCATTAAATTTAAGTCTATTAAAGTTCACTTTAGTTAAGCAGATGGAAGCTTAAAATATGTATGTCTTAACATTCTGTTTAACGGTGCACACTTAATTTCCCCTTCTGAACATTCTGACTTGTTTATATTTGTATCCTGCAGGATAGCGTGCGAACCACAATGACTTCCACCGCGACGACCACCACGGGGCTGAATGGCAGTGCGAATGGCAGTGGGGCAGCAACAGGTACGGCGGTGCGCTTGAACCGCGTGTCCTTGGACGGCGCCCAGTTGCAGGGGCAAAATCGTAGCCGACAGGACCTCTTCGACCATCCGCGTCGCACTCTGCAGACGCAGATATCGCAGCTTTCGTCGGTGGGCGATGCCCATTCGCTGCTGGAGGAGGACTTGCAGTTTCATGAGGAGCAGCTGCAGCGGCAGCCCACCATGTGCTCCATTGACGAGCTCACCGATGACTTGGCAATCTCGCGGTCACGCCTTAAGTTGACGCGCATCACCCGCCCTGTGGTGGCGGGGGCGGGGGGCGTGTCAGGGGGCGTGAACGGCGACGAGTCAAGTGGCAAAGTGCGCAAGGCGAAAGTGAAAGCGCTCAAGAGCTCAAGCGCTCTCAAGGGTCTCAGGGCCAAATTCAATTGGCGTGCCAGACGCAAAGGCAACAGCCACAAACCGCAGGCCAAGGGGGCGGCGGGGGCGGTTGCTGGCGAAGACTCCGGCGAGCGGACCGCCTTTTAAAGGGAGTCCATTCCAGTGCCACCAGCAGACACACACACACACACACACACAACTGTGATACGAGCAGCAAGCGCCTCTCCAGCTTGTTTGTGTTTAACTCTAGACAAATATTCCACGCTGCGGTCAATTAGTCGTTCTTGCTAATATTATAGCCCGAAACTATAGTTCGAATTCTATTTATAGTAATTCTAATCGCAATAAACTATGTATTTCATTCTCATTACAACAAGTTGCATTGTGTTTTATTGGTTACGAGTATTTTAGACTTAAAACACTAAGTTCAAAATTGGTTGAAACTATTACAGAAGACAACCAAATGCAACATGATTTTAGGAGTTTTTGAAATAAATCCTCCAATAAAACCCAATTTTGTGTGTTGTTGCATTCAATATTTTATGCGCCCCTAGACAGCCAGACAATATTTCAATTTTTATTATTTTTTTGATATGTTTAAATTTTTTAATAATTATAAGCCCATATAAAAACATTTTCACTTTGAAATAAATATTTTCGGTACTGATTAAGCGCCGAGGGGCATTTTATTTAAATCAAAGTATGTTACACTTTCATTTTTATTTTTAAGTATGAAAAAATGTAGTTTTAAATATACCAATCGAATATGTTTTTTACAATGTAAATTGTGGCAAATAACATTTTCCATAGTGGATAATTAACAGAGTTTTCTTTAAATTTCATATAAAATCTGGATCAAGTGTAGGATTAGCCAGGCGAGGGTTCAACGGACCACTGGCTAATGACTGTCAGTAAAAAGCGGGAATAGCCAAAATCGCACTGCATCATAATCCTGGGCCATTAAGATGGTTATCTGGCGCACAAATTCGCTTTTCGGTCCAGAGTCTAGACGATGAAAACAAAACTCGCGATTTGGCCAATACTGGCTGAAAACTGTCGAGTGGCAGCCATGTTCGTGTGGGTGTGTTTAAGACTAATTACTATGCCATAACAGAGTGCCCCAGCCAATTAAGTTTTAATTTCAGCGAATGCAATTAGTCAAGCGAGCAGAGTAGACTTTGCATATGTGCAGCCAGAAATAAATGGGGCTTAATTCATAAAGTGCAGCATATGCTGCCAAGATGTGGCAGCCATGAATAACTGAGACCACAAAAACTTTGCTTAATTCGACCCAAAGTTTAGAATTAATGTTCATTTTCGGTGGCACTTTGGTAAGCTTAAGTTAACTCTTAGTTCACAATTAACTGGAAATATAACAAAAAGCTTATGTTACAACACATCGTTAGGTCACAAGAATGTGGTAAAAATTCAAAGTACAGAATACCATTCTTGTGAAATGCTTCAATTAAAATGGTCGGTATGCTAAATCATAAATTCGTAGAAAAATAAACAAAACAAATAGCATTTTTGTATTACATCCCCCACTTAAAAATGTATGTATATGAATAAACAATTTTTTAAATAAAATTCCAAATATATAAACTACTCTTGCCCAGCACTTTTAAATTTTATTTGCCCTACGCTTTACTGAATATCATGAAAACTGTAAAAAGTTTAATGACGAAATTCGGTGAAGAAATTGTAGGGTTGGATTTTCCATTCTAACTAACTGCAAAATGCTTCACTTCATTTTATGCAAAGAATATATTTATATTTTTTTCAAGTAAACTCCGGATTTATTCAGATGTAAAATGAAATGTTTGTTATTGTTTACAACTGGTAAATGTTGATAAAATCAAGATTTATTAGTGTTTACGCAGACCGAATTCCTATCTACCAAGTTGATAGACAACCAAATTTGTTTTATGTTCTCCACTTGGTATTTAGACAGTATTGTCAACTCCTTAATGCCAGTTACAAGATGCTAATCCATTACACACGCCCAGGCGATCCTCTTTTTATGGCCGGCGGCAGAAACGACTTTCTGCGTCTGTGTGTCTGGGTCGGGACCTTTTTTCATCAATGGAGGGCCATCATTTATGCGACATAAAAGTCAAAGGCTGTCAAATAGTTTCGATGAACTTCATCATTTTTATGCACATAACAAAAATAGAAAGGGGTCGCATATAGAAACAAAAACTCGTTGATAACCATTACTATGGCAACCAACCACACAATAAATTTGAGTGGGTTTCATTTTGTGCAAATTTACTATCACTTGTCTCGATGGATAGCAGACCGAAAGCAATTGAAGCATTCAATTTACGGGACAGCCTAAAAGCCTTTCACTGCTCTTATTTTAAATTCCCCGATACGTCTTTGTTCATATCACGCATACGCAGTGTGTGCCTTGGACCGTCATAACGCATAAATATGATATAAATAAGCAATTCAGTGGAGAGGCGAAGGCAGCGAAATAAAGCCAAGCCCAGATCCCAGTGACTGTGCAATAAACTCTCAATTTCATTTATATGTATGAGCCATGTTAGCAATTCAAATGGACGATGTGCCAGATTCCCTAAGCGCTATATGCACACACACATGAGGTGGGCGTACTGGAGCAATTAAGCCGTAATATACTGTTGCCTACTTTCCACGGCCATCGATTTATGCGTCCCTTCGAAATCGTTGGAAAAATTAAATGGAATTTATAAGCTGCAAAATCGGCGGGTGCCCCAAACCACTTAACCCCACTGATTGCCTTTCATAACACTCTATTAATTAGGAGCCTGCCAAGCCAAGTGCACATGATGCAATTAAGAGTGTGGCGTGGGTGTACGAGTTTTCCTAAATAAGTCGAAACAAGTGAAAATACTGAAAAATCTAAGGTGAGCGTATTTTGTTTATCAGAAAGTTTCATTATAGTCTGCACTGATAAATGATGAAATAGGAAAAAATAATGTTTGACTATTGAATTCAAAATTGCAAAGTTAAATATTAAATAATTATATTATATACAATTCATATTTAGTTGCATGTTATTTTTTAATATTTTGATTAATGTAAAAAATATTAGATTTAAATTAGTTCCTAGTTGATTTAAAACCATTTTATTTAAGTAAAATATGGTTTAAAATTAAATTAAATTTACACATTATAAAATCAATTTCTTCAACTGTCAAATGAAAAAATGATAAACTTTTTGTCTTTAAAATAACTAAAAACTGCAATCAACACATTCTGCTAAAATTTTGTGCATTTCAAAAACTTAAGACTGTTAAGAATTTTCCCACTTCATATCTTAAATGTAGTTATTAAATAAAGGCCTTGAAAAAGTTTTATAAAACTGTTACTATAAGATATTTGTAAATTGCCAAATGGCCGTTTTTGGGCTCACCCCATTGCGTTAACATTTGTAAAAACAAACATTTTGGGCAGTGCGTTTGGCACTTCACTGGGACCGACCTCATCCATCCTTTATGGAATCCCCTTGATACAGACTAGTTGCCTATGTGGCCGGATCCACTTGGCACGTACGGATTGATGCTTCCATTCGGGACTTGTGCTGAGGCCAGGCATGCGGTTACCATTTGATATGTCTGACTTTTCGACAGGGCTCAGTATTTGCCCATACTTTTTTCTCCTCTCTAACTGTAAATGTGGCTGCCGTTCTGGTTTCTTGGAATTGTGGGTGTTGTCGCTGCAATGAAATTGGCATTGTTTTGCGCATTTCGCACGTAGTTACTGCTCATGGGGGAGTACTCATAAAAGCGAATTTTATCGGAACTGACAGGAAAAACGAGCCCAATATGCTTGGATTGCCTAAACACCCACTAAAATGCAATTCAATCGCTGACTTGCCTTTTCCCAGGCGACGCCTTTAATGCCAAATCATGTACGCCTTCTTCCGGTTACTAAGAGCATCCAAAAAATTTATGTGACTGCTGGAATTGAGTTATTATCAGCATTTATATTATTTAAAGAGTCTTCCATTTTCAAGATTAAAGCTATTTGTTCTTTTTTTTATAAAGAATGTTTAACTTGAAATACTTGTAATTAATAAACTCAAGTAAATACTAAACACATTTGTATCGACTCCCCGAAAGCCAAATCAGAGCAAGCATGAACAGCTATAAACGATTTCAAAACTAGTTTGCTGATAAAATCAGGAATTCATTAAAATTCATTTTTAAAAGCTTTCGGTGTTGAACAGCCAAGTCTTAAGCTAAGTAAATAATTCTTAACAAAACACCGAAATCAGCTCATCAAATGGCACAAGCTATCGTTTATTCATACGAATATTTTTTATTTGCACTTAATATATTCCATACACTTTTTTAGGGGCGTGCGACCCGGCCGGCAAATCAAAAAGTTCATATTCGACCGAAGTAAAAATAGATGACAGTGGCTATAATTATGATGCATGACGAATAAACAAGGGGCTTAAGGCCTGAAACAGTCAGCCAATGCATTTTTTATGGCATGCTTATTTTATTATTTTTTGTTTCAGGCTTAAATAATAATAAATAATAATAATAATAAATCCATTAACCAATCGCGCCACAAAAGCCAAGGGCAAGTCCACAATTCTGGTTTATCTCGGTCCACCATCAATGGTTTTGCGAAATATTGATCAGAAGGCCCAAAGAATTTACCGGCAACCGGTTATTCCAAAGTTGGCATCTATTTAGTATTTGATATGATAATCACTTAATGATCTGCTTTTTAATTAAACACGCGATGAACAGCTACAAGTATACAATTAAACAATAGAATATTTTGTACATTTTATCTACAAAATTACCTTGGAAAAATCTCTTTATTTCATAGCCTTTACAAACATTAGTACAATGATGGACTGTCAGATTTATTGAAGGATATATTGAAAACCACAAAAACATTACAATTTTATTAAAGAAACATTTTTATACTCAGACCCTTTCTTTTTTTTTTTTAGCATTCAACTTGTAGGGCTGACGAGAAATACAACTGTTCGGATCAAATGGAAAATCAATGCCAAAGACTTGGTAATGACGTGGGTCATAAATGCAGGCGGATTCCGCTTTAATGCTCGCTACCAAAACAAGACCGCAAATTTATGACTGGCTGTTAAAAAATACCGCCCAGCACAAAGAAATTATTGAATCGAATGGCGGCATAACAATCCTAATTAATTGTAAACAAGCCATGAATAACAACAGCTCATAGTACACACACACGGCACTTGCAGCTCATTTATATGGCGCATCGCAGGAGTGGGTGGGTGGTGTGTGAATGGGCGGTGGATGGAGCTTTATGGGTGGTGCTACTCATTGTGATCCCTTTCGCTGCACCACCTTTTGCCAGTGTGTGCATGAGAGCAAAGAGTGACGGCTT